TGTTCAATATTTGATGGGGTATTTTGTGTAGCATATACAATCTTATTAGAGTTGAAGAGTTCTTTCCCTATATGTCTTAAAGCATTGGCAAATGATTTTGCACATATAACCTGTATTTTTTAAATCTAGTCTTTTAATTATAGTAAATCTTGTTCGAATGTTTTTACTGGTGCGGTCTTTTCATTTTAATCGTTCTAATCATTATTAAGTTCCAAAGTACCCAGATATCATTGATAATATGCTGCTCCTTGGGTGTTTTAGGCTTGCTATTCCCAACTTCGTAATGTTGGTGTTAAATTGAGTGTTATTTCTAAGAAAGAAACTGGAATGGGTGAGATAAGATCGATAAAAACCTGAGAAATAAATTAATCTATAACATATTTATACATATTTCTTACATTTATTCTAGTGTGAATGATAAACTTGGCCATTGCAAATAAAAAATAAAAAAAGATTTGTGCCACATGATTTCCACAAACTTTTATAATATCTATATGAAGCTGAATGAAAAGCAACGCTATGCTGCCAAACTCATCTGAACAGGAATATTCCAATTTCTAAGAGAATCTTTACTACAAAATAGTTCACAAAATACGAACCCTGGGAAGTTTCTTACAGAAGGTTAGTATTACTTATTAGCATTTTGGATATATGAATTTTAATTTTTTTTTAGATGGGGAACTGGAACCAGAATGGTTGGTTTCGCCGGATATCCAGAATTAACAAAACCTTTTTGAAAAAAGTAAGCATGTTGTCTATTAAATTATTGCAGGTTAAAATTGGTTAGAAAGATGAGTGGTCTTGTGATAAATACAACGAGATCTATTGACTTTTTCTTTTCTATTACAAAGTCTATTTAGTACTGAAGTAGGTTTTATGCTAATGCAACGGCATTGGCAACAAGATGGAAAATTTGGTTATATTGAGATGGCATTTACGCTTAGATAATAAATTGAAACCGTTTACGAAAATCCAGACCCCTTAAAAACACAGTTTCTGAACGAGCCAATACTGCAACCTTCGTGTTGAGTCTGGGCACTTCCGTTGGCGTCCTCATTTTGAAGGCTCGTAACCATATCGTTATTTTATTGATAGGTCTCAACAATTCGTGCAAATGCCAAGATCCCAGTGGTGTACTCGACTCCTTAACTAGTAAAACATAATCGACCAATATGTAGGTATACGTATTGATAGTGCCATTCCGTATACGATGTGTAGAATAAGGACGCGGTTGATTACTGCGGCTGATCTCATCTTCAAAGGTGAGCGTTGAGTTTCCTATTGAATATACCAAGATGCCGTTTTTTATAGCTAACTGCTGACTCCCACTGCCCTCCCCAGAGGGGTTCCTCTGGAGGAATGTGTATCCCATTGAATTCTATCATTTGTCATGACGTTATAACGAGTCATCGATCGATCGTTTAGCTCGGTTTTCTTTTCGCACGAAGTTTTCTGTACTTGCTCTCAATGAAATAAAGCACTACCAAGCCTTAGATGTTCGTTAGTTAATCTGTTCAAGATCTTGCTAGTCGTTTTCAATAGGAGCGTTCTTTCCTTGTTGTCTTAAATGTCTTCCACAAGAAATATGTTAATCTATTGTTTTGTTGATTTGCTCAGTTCCAATACCTTGATTCCTTGAATACATCGAGTACCGATGAGTCGATATGTTGCCTTTCCAGAGAATAATTGATCTTGCCAAGAACGTGGGCTTGGACAAGCATATGGTCCGTAAAAATGCGAGACTTGATGTGAAGCGTGCTGCATCCCCTAATCGTGTCTGCTTTTACTGAAGATATTCTAGTTATCAAGATGTTTGATGCGGAATGTGCCAATGTATCCGTTCGGATACATAAGAGAGTTCTAAACTGGTGTGTAACAAAACACGAGCCGTTATGGAATCTCCATTTATCGTTTTCCTCTGAAGAATTTGCAGTGACTTGGGCCAAATGGCTGAGAGTCGCTGAAGTTTCGTATGTTGCGTTGGTGTCTTGCTCTACCACTTGGGTAAAAGTCTCAATGGCATGTAGACTTTCTTGCACATGTAGAAGAGAGTGAGGATTTCCTTTGCAATGTTTACATTCGAATGTATTATATATTTGCACATATTGATCCCATGCCCAGATTGCAAATAGTTATAGTACAAAGATTTTTCCTTTGCAAAAGATCGCCTTTGTTCTGTAGACCTATATATGTTTTAGCTACCGCCTTCAATTGCGACCATTGATAATTCTTTTAGGTTTTTCGACTTGTGTTGTTGTCTTGCCATCATTAGTAAGCTCCCGTTTGCTTAGCTCCAGTTCCTGGCATTGAGAATCTAGAAACTATAAGAACTCCTCGAGCGTGGGGGAATCCGTGTCCGTGCTGCGTTAAATTCACCTTCGCCGTGCGTCAGCGTCAAGTTTCTCCAATGTTAGTTAGATTATCCAACAATCGCGTGCAGTTTGGTTCACAGCATCCAGACCTTGAACCATTTCATTATGTCCGACACCTTGCGTAATATGTATGCATCTGTTTTTTTTGTTGCTGGTAAGCTCATAACTGCTCCAAAAATGAGTTTACTATGCGCTGTGGACGATTTTATCTTTCCTTCAGCCGTTCCCACACAGTGGTGTACGCCGTATCCTAGATAGCCAGGTCTCGCACCAAGTTAGTAGCTTTATCAGCTTTTTGGAATCGCCGTACCAGATACAGAATTTAAATCCGCCGCTGTTACGCCACACCAGCTTGAAACGGTTTTTGTGTTGCCCTGATTTGTTGCGAAACGCTTGAAGAGCTCTTAGTTTTATTGTAGCAAGCTGAGAATTGCGTCTTCTGGAATGTCATGTCCAGAAGATATACCCGGTGGTGGAGCACCTCTTTTTTCCTTGAGAATCGTGTTTGACCTTAAGTATTTTGATTCATAGATTTTGTTGTCTATCTCCGGATCATACATAACCTTCAACGTCCTCGTGAAGAGCTATGCAATGGAATTCCTTACTTAAAGTATGTATGCCAATGCAACGGCATCGTCAACAAGATGGAAATTTTGTATATTAGAGATGCGCTTTTACGCTTCGGTATTCGAAGTTGCAATTTGCTCACGAACAGGACGAAAGGGTATATTATAATTATTGAAAAGTAATAGGTAAAACGAAGCGTTTCAGATTTTACAGATATCTTAATTTTGCAACTATTTTTCTACCTATCTGGAGAGTTCATTATCCCAAAAAGATCCCATTATAACACTATGACTTCTACGTGTTTCAAATGATCTATGTAAAAACTGTTTTTTAATTTCCCCCTTTTGTTGCCCTTTAGACTATAGACAAATTGTTACAATAAGTTATAAAATTAAAATCTTTCTCGTTTAGGGATTGAAATGTATATATAATCTTGACCAGGATAAATAGCCAAGTCGTTAAGCCATGTTCGTCCGTCCGTCTGTCCGTCTCTGTATGAACGCAGAGATCTCAGAAACTATAAGATACAAGGAGCGCAAGCTTATGCCGGCATCCGGCTATGCCCAAAGTCTCCACTCTGAGATTTAAAAAGTTGGGATTAGCATGTTTAATTTTAAAATGTCAGCGCAAGGTGGTACTATTATCCGGCCGCGCCCACTCTAATGCCCACAAACCTCGGAATACTTTTGCTTCCATATCCAAATGTATGTATGTCTTCGTTTGTTATTTTATTATTTTTTAATTAAAATCAATTGATTTACCGAAGATTTTTAAAATCGGAACATTATTTTGCGATTTATTGAAAGTGTAGGTTATAAGGCCTCACATGTGCAGTGACGTCAACATCAGTTAGTAGACATGCTTTTTCCGTTAGCAAAAGTTGAAATTCAGAAAGTATAATCTGAAGATGCCAGTGCATCTTAAAATGGTACTACTATCCGGCTACACCCACCCATACGCCCACAAGGCTCAAAAGACGGTTTTCGGATTTTCTAGAAAAGCTGATATCTCGGTAACTGTAAGAGATAGAAGGTTTTTATGATGCTCCCAATGCGAATTGTTTTTTTCCGATCAAGCCATGCCCACTCTAACGCCCACAAAACCCGAAAAACCAAAAATGCAAAAATCTCAAAAAATACAAGAGCTGCAAGATTTTGCTTAGGAACACGTATTTAAGAGATGCCACTGCAACTTGCCACGAGGTTTCATCCGGCCACGCCCTCTCTAACGCCCACAAACCGAGGGAAAACTGTAGCGTCTATAATATTATTATGAATGTCTTCTTTTGACCTTGTATAACTTATTTCTGTTAATATCTATCGATTTACTGAAGATTTTTTTAAATCGGAACATTATTTCGCTATTTATAAAGAAATTAAGGTTATATAGGCCTCACACGGGCAGTGACGTCACTATAAGCATACTCAACATGCTTCCTCTGACAATGGGTGGCGCCTCTGAATTTCCACTAGCAAAATAATATTTTAAAATTTTGTAAAACAGTAACGGGTATCTTATAGTCGCGGCACTCAACTATAGCGTTTCCTCTTGTTTTTCTGTTTGTTTTTGAATGAATCTAATAATTATTCGATTACATAAGAACTGGAATACAGCCCGCATCATAAATATGAATTTTATACCAGTTGGATTTAAAACAAGAAAAATTGCTTCTTGGGGGAGTGCCTACTATAAGATAACCTTTGTCCCTGTGTTCAATTTTAGATTATATTCTTATAAATAAGCTATTTTTATAGCCATAATTCGTAGTATATATTTTTAAAAATTATTAAAACTTAGCATGCATTTAACATTTAGCTTGAAAATTCTAGTAATAAGTACGTTATGCGAGTTAGTTTACTCTGACACTTAAAAAGGCAAAGAAGTTTGAATGTTAAAGTTGGCAAAGCTTAATAATGAATATTATGCAAAAATTAACATTGACATTTTCATAAATATGAAGTGTGCTTTTTCTAATATGGTTTTCTGATTAATTACAATAATTCAATTCATTTTTTAGGGTTTTGGAGATTCGATATACTGAGCTGGAGCCAATACTACGACTTTATCAAAACCTTATGCTGAAGCTATTGTTCAAAGGGTAAAGGCTTTAAATCAAACAATTCAGGGACGCTCGAAAACTCGACCAAAACGGAAGCCTGATATTAGAGATGTATTTCGGGATTTTGATGTAAGTATAATAAATGTGTAAAATTATTCATAGATTTGATAGCTTATCTTAACTTATGTATGTTTATTTTTATATAAACACTCGTAAACAGCGTTGGAAAAGCTAAGATACTCCAGTAGTATATAGTTTTGCTATTGCTATCGCTCTCACTATGACGAGCTCTGCTCGGAGCTTTAACAAAGTTATGGCAATAGCAGAAAACTGTCATTAAGAAGATTGCCATATTTTAGGCGCTTATTGTGAATTGTGCCATCTGCTAAGATACCTTCTTACTTTAATGCTATCATTATCAAAAAATAGCTTAAAATATTGATTGTCAGGAATGTTTAATGCTAAATGCAAAAGGTGATCATCAACGGGACTTTTTATGATGCCACCATCATTCGGTCATTTAGTATTTAAAATAATGTACTAAGTAAATAATAATTATAATTAAAAAACAAGAAGAAACGCTATAGTCGAGTGCCACGACTATAAGATACTGCTACTGTTTTAAACAATTTTAAAATATTCAGTGGAAATTCATAAAGCGCAACCTATTGTCAGAGAAAGCATGTTGAGTAATTGATAGTGACGTCACTGTCAATGTGACGCCTTATAATCTACATTTTTCATAAATAGCAAAATAATGTTCCGATTTGAAAAATCTTTGATAAAGCGATAATATTGACAAAAATGTGTTATACAAGGTCAAACGAAGATATACACTATAATATTATGGACGCCAAAGTTTTTCGGGCGTGGTCCGATAAAAATTCGTGGAAAGTTGCAGTGGCAATTCTTAAATATGTACGATTCATGTAAAATTATTCGGTCAATGCTCAATGACCTGCTCATCCAAAACAGTTGAAGACACCCGAAACACTCATTCCGAAACATGAGTGTTTCGCTCACTCCTTATTTTCTTTTTTTTTGCTTTCAGTGTTTACCCAAAAAACTGTGCAATAGAATCGAGTGAAAAGAAGGAATGTTTTAAAGCTAAATTCAAAATCTGATCATCAACGGGACTTTTTATGATGTCAGCAGTCAATTGGCTTTTCCATCCTGCGTCTATCTCATTTCCCTTTGAGGCATATCCGGCAGGCTTCCTTCTATAAATTTCTAAAAAGCATCCATTCTATCCTCCGGCTTTTAATTTTTGTTAAATTACCGATATATCTCAATGTTGCTGTGAATAAAAGTCCAATCTCTAGTTTAACTTATGCCTGGCCACACTGATTCTCTTGTGAATTTTTTCATAGAAACTATCGATGGGAAAACTAACTAAACTAAACTAATCTCTAGTTTAACTTATGCCTGGTCAAACTGAATCTCTTCTGAATTTCTTCATAGAGCTGGAAAACTATCGATGGTGACGCAATTTGATATTGTCGATGGTTTCGGATCGATACTATCGATACCAAAAAAAAAAGTTCGCTTCCGGCAAATATTCGTGCGAGAGCCAAAAAAAGGCCGGCAAATATTTTCGTGCGACCAAATATGCAAATAAGATGACCATCGATAGTGAGAAGTGACACCCGAAACACTCAGATCAGTTGAAGACACCCGAATCACTCATCCCGAAACATGGGTGTTTCAGACACTCCCTTCATTTGCTATAAGTGTTTTGGGTGTCTGTGCAATACAATCATGTGCATAGGATTAAGTGGGTGACAAAAAAGCAAATACACAAAACACTCAAAGCGATCTATGCACTCGGGTGTGTTACTCTTTTCTTGCTGAAAAGAACACTCGAAATGTATAAGTGTGATTCGGGTGCCGAAAAAAGACACCCTTGACGATCTCTGGTGTATATCATTAAGAGGGACAGCAGTGGAAACGTGCAGCCTTGACTGCAGTGCTAAATCTTTACTTGCACCAAATGTATGCATGCACGACATACCTGAATAGAAGGCTAACCGATGTTTTCTATATGAAACCGCCTCAGGGATACATTGACGTGGGTATCACCACATAAAAGTAATACGATTGAACTATATCCATAACCATATTTTCAAGTAGAAAGAGAGTGGCATATAAAGTTGAACGAACCTATGCGATATAAGATCCCTTTGTCAGAACGAGCCATGTTTGTACATGATGAATGTAGATGGCTGACTTTGCCTGATACTTATCTACGTTGATGATTTGTTTCTTGCTTGCCGGAAAAAGAAGACATAATTGACATGAAGACAAAGATTACTATAAAGTTCTATAAATTACTATGATTCTGGAAATTAGCAGTAGCTCTACCTTTGCTCTAGCCGCTCCTTTCGTGGATTTTGAAAGTCAAGAAACATTTTCTTCATTTAAAAGCCCGCATCGTTTGCTGGTTGTCTCAAACTCTTTAACCGAATGCTTTAATTTAAAAGCAGATATCCCTTCGTTCTTTCCGTTAAAATTCTGCCGTGCAATCATTGTTGTGGCTAATTGTTATGGACTTGAGTTTCATCAACGGTGTGCCAGGGATGCTGATCACCACTCTGTTGATCAGATGTTCGCTCGCTCTGTATTTGACTAAGAATCACTGATTAAATGGATGTATTGGATCGAATAGAACGTTATAATTTTCCAAAGCTAAACCTTTTTGTTGAAAAGTTTGCTTTATTTCAATATTTCCGCATTCACATTTTGTATCTTTCTAGAATTACCCTTTTACTTGTTCGAACTGAAGGTTCGGACCTATTTATGTTTTTGGTTGGGACAAACAATCTTTCCCTTATCATTATTTTGTCAATTCGTTTTTAGGCGCGTCATCACCTATATATGGTCATCATCTATATACTGAGTCCTTTCACTTTTTCGTGTTCGTGATCGTGCTTTTTGGTCCGGCCGAATGAAAAATGTTTTAAACTATTTAACAAATATGCAATGTAAATATTTTATTTAATAAATATTTTACCAATTTACCATTTATAAGTTGATTTGGATCCCTTAAAAATTAAATCAAACATTAGTTAGAGCCCAATACCAAGTTTTTAATAAATTTAATTTATTAAAACTCCTCAAACACTAGGGTATAATTAGATATTTATCAAGTTTTTATACCCGCTACTCGTTGAGAAAAGGGTATAATATATTCGTTGAAAAGTATGTAACAGGTAAAAGGAAGCGTTAGGAAGGTATCAACGGGTATCTTATCGTTTTCTCTTGTTTTTATTAATACCTATCGATTTACCAACAGTTTTTTAAATCGGAACAGTATTTCGCTATTTATGAAAAAATTTTAGTTATAAGGCCTCACATGGCTTGTGACATCACTATCAATTACTCAACATGCTTGCTCTGACAATAGGTGGCACTATGGAAATTCCCACTAGGAAAATGAATATTTTAAAATTGTGTAAAACAGTATTGGGTATCTTATAATCGCGGCACTCAACTATATCGTCTCCCTCTTGTTTTATACTGAAATATTGATCAAGATCAATAGCCAAGGTAATTTAGTTGTTTGGGATTTCGAAACTCATTACTGATAATAAATAATTTAGAGACTCACTTGCTTTTACAAAATAGATTCGGTTGACTCTAACGTCTAAAAACTGCACTTAATTTTTTAAAAATAGTACCACAGAAATTTAATACCAGTCGGATAAGGAGAAAATCTTCATATTGACATATGTAAGTACATATATTATCCTCAAAAAGAAATATTTATAACCTGGAAACACTTTTATTCAAAATTCCATCAAGTCAAATTTTTTTTATTTTCGCCAAAAACATCGAAAACATCGATGTCCGTGAACATCAATGGTTCTAGTCTGTACCTATCGACAATTTCTTAAACAACATTATTTTGTGGTTTATTAAGAAACGTAGATTTGAAGACGTCATTATCAGCTATTAAACATGTAACCAGCATGGGATTACAAATATTTCATATTTTTCAATCACAATTACAATTGACATGGGCAAGACAAGTGGTACCAGCCGACCGTTTCTTAATTATCCTGGTTGGACCGCCTTTGTACTCCCTCCCTAGTGACGACGTCACGATAAATAGAAGTGAACTCTCCGTTTCTCGTATGATGAAACTTTTTTTAAAGACTTTCGTATGGAAGTCGAGTAAAGCAACACTTCCTAGAATGAAGGCGGGATTCAATTTGTCAAAAGACACTGCTTTGCCGTTGGCATCTTAGGTAAATACTCGGTCATTGTTGCGATGTAGCACTTCGAATAGGCCAGTGCTTGGATCTGCATGACGGCTGCATGACGGCATTGGTACGAATGAATAATATTTTTATACCGTTACTCGTAGACTAAAAGGGTATACTAGATTCGTTGAAAAGTATGTAACAGATAGAAGGAAGCATTTCCGACCTATAAAGTATATATATTCTTGATCAGGATCAATAGCGAAGTCGATTGAGCCATCTCCGTCTGTCCGTCCGACCGCCCGTTCGTCCGTCCGTATGAACGCTGAGATCTCAGGAACTATAGTAGATACAAAGTTGAAATTAAGCATGAAGATTCTTGAGGTCCCGGGAAAGCGCAAGTTTATTTCAGTATCCTGCCATCTCGGGAACTATTAGAGCTAGAAAGTGGAAATTCAGTATGTATAAACTTTGGATGCCAGCGCATCTTTTAGAGGTACTACTATCTGGCCACACCTACCCATACGCCCACCAAGCTCAAAGACGGCTTTTCGCATTTTTTAAGAAAACCTGATATCTCGGTAACTATAAGAGATAGAAAGTTCAGATTAAGCATGTAGGTTTTTACGATGCCCCTTATGCGAATTGTTTTTTTTCATCTAGCCACCCACCCTAACGCCCACAAAACCCGAAAAACCAAAAATGGAAAAATCTCGGGAACTAAAAGAGCTAGAAAGTTAGTATTTTAGGGATGCCACTGCAACTTCCCACGACTTCTCATCCGGCCACGCCCACTCTAACGCCCACAAACCGCGAAACACTGTGGCGTCAATAATAATGTTATGAATGCCTTCGTTTGACCTTGTATAACTTATTTCTGTTAATATCTATCGATTTGACAAAAGATTTTTAAATCGGAACATTATTTTGCTATTTATGAAGCAATTTAAGTTATAAGGCCTCACATGGGCAGTGACGTCACTATCAGTTACTGGACATGCTTTCTCCGCAATAGGTGGCGCTTGGGGAATTTCCATTAGCAAAATGAATATTTTAAAATTGTGTAAAACAGTAACAGTAAAAAGTTTGTGCACGATATTTTATTTTATTTTTTAAGTTACAGTTAAGATCAAGAGGTTATTGGAACTATTTTCAACCGTTTTATCAAAACAGGACCGTATAACCTTTTGACGGCCTGTAAAAAACTCTCATATAAAGTGTATAACATTTTGAAGCAGTTTATTTTTATATTTAAAGGAGTCGAGTGAGGGCACACGTTCACGCAGTGCCACACCAGATTCTCTGGATTCCATACAAGTCGATGATGTTTGGGCAAACTGTTCAATGTAAGATCAATTAAAATTACCCCAATTTTTAAGCTAATATTTTTTTTAATAGCTCAAGCAATGTTAGAGTTGTAGAAAGCATTAATGAGACGGGCAGTAAAAGTTGTGAACAAAGAAAAGAAACATTAAAACAGAACTTGCGACGAATACCCAGCTCACAGCTTAAAAGTTACACTTGTGCAGATATATTTAGAGGGTCGCATGTGCGATGTGATATACCGTTGCATTCGGCGCATGGTGTAGAGTTGCTTGGTTATTCACGGATTGGGACTATACATTTGCCTCGAAACCGATCCGGCTCAGATCCATTTTGCATACTTGGGTAAGTATTTTAAATTTGGTTTATGAGTATATATATAGTTCACACAATTATTTCTTTTCAGAAGAGCGCGTGAAATTTTATTTACAGATTCTCAGAGTGTAAGTAATGCTTCATCAGACGATTCTTGTGTTGAGTGTACAGATGCTTCACAAAAGACAAAAACGAGTCTAAGTCTGTCACAGACCAAAAATCAAAGCTTACGCATTTCCCCTATGTCCTATGATGGCCTTAGCTTTGAAAGCATTTGTCGAGATACCTCTAGTCTTGACTGCGTCGAAGCATTAGATAACTGTGACACATCTTCAAAACTATACACAGATATCAATAATATAAGTGAAGTTGAACTTAAAGGATTAAAGACAATTCTTTGGTTAGAATTAGCTACAATATTTGATCGTAACCAAGTGTCTTTGGATAAAAGAAAGCCCTTTAAACGCCGTCGCAAAGAAGAGGGTAATCTTTTTGGAGTATCTTTAAATGCTCTAATAAGACGGGATCAGCAAGTTACCGGCACTGATTCTACATTAGTTCCATTATTTTTGGAAAACTTGATAGCCGAACTTGTACAACGTGGGTCTAGAGAAGAAGGAATACTACGAATTGGTGGACATAAGCAAAAGGTTATGTTGTTGTACAAAATATTGTTTAACTTATTATGAATATCGTTTATTTGCAGACTGAAATACTTTATAACGAAATAGAATCAACATTTTATAAAAAACCTAAAAATGTAGCCCTGCTTTTGGGCACAGCTACGGTTCATGAACTTGGTGCCCTGCTAAAACGATGGCTGAGGGAACTTCCCCAACCTTTATTTACCAATGAACTTATACAACTCTTGTATCAATGTCACACACTTCCAACAATGGATCAAAAAAATGCATTATCAATTATATGTCAGATGCTTCCCCCTGAAAATAGGAACACATTACGTGCTCTGCTTAGATTTTTAAACTACATCATTGGTCTAGAAGATATAAACAAAATGAATTTGCATAACGTATCTACAATAATTGCTCCATCTTTTTTCCCACCACGTTATTTACACATGAGTGATAAAAACAGCATTGCAGAGCAAGTAAAAGTGGCTGCACAGTGTTGCCTTTTAACCAACGTCTTAATCTTGCTTGGCGAAAAACTCTTTCAGGTACCAAATAATATAATTTTGGAATCCAGAAGTAAGAAAACAAGAATGGTACGTTTTGACTTTTATTTTGAATTCACGTTGAAGATATTGCTTTTATAGGGAAAACGGGCGTCATCGGCAAATCAATTCAAGTGAGTTCAAGAATACGATGCTAACGGATCGCATCCAACTCGTTACTAATGGAAGCAACAAATTAAAATATTGTAAATATACTTGAAAATGCAGATTTTTGACTATAATATTGTTTTAAGCTATACCTAAGCTGAATTATATTTTAGATATGTATTTACATGATTATATAATTAATACGTCACTATATAATTATTATAGATATGCATATATCTTTATATATATTATATATATAATAATAAAAAAAAATCCAGTCAAAAAAGTTTTACCTAAAAAACAGAAATTTGAAATTATTTAAAATCTGCGTGCATTAAGTCTTTTAATAATATTCGTTGTTGTATACACAAATTTTTATGCCAATTTAAAAAACACTTGGGATATATGAAGTTCAGTAGATTTCAAGTGTGTGGGGTAATATTTTGTTATTTTAAAGCGTAGAGCTCATTATATATATGGATTATACCATTTGAAATATCGTAAAGTACCAGAAATATTTTTTTTGGAATTTTTTTAATACTCTTATACTTGTTTTTACAAGGAAAAAGCTTTCTGATTTAATATTTTTTTATTTTTCCGGTGATACAAAATCGTTGACTTTTGCGCGAACAATTTGATAAAAGCTAATCATAAACATTTTTAATTTCCTAAATAATAGCACATTTCAAAAAAACTTTGATGAGAATTTAACGAAAATTAATTCAATATTAATGTCGGCTGTGTCGCACACAATTGCACTTAATAAACGCTTCGCCAGAATACAACTCTTTACGAAATTCATTAGTCCGTATGACTCCCCTTCATCCCCTTCTAGTCCTTTGTATACAAAGTATGCTCTCTCTCTTATCGTCATCTTGCTTGTACAATTGCCGTATCTATATTTTTCCTTTCAGAGCTCTGTGAGCTTTCGTTATAACTGAGAACTCATAACCTTTGTGGGTCACATAACTAAACTTGTCACATTCCTTATTTCAAAAGAATAAAGACTTATTAATTTTGAGCGTCATTGTTATAGTCATAGTAGGACCTATTAAATTTCCTCGTTCTATAATTCTGCACACATCCAACACTGAGTTCGTTAAAACCTGAAACCTTTTGCACACATAATCTATGTATATTTTAAGAAATCTCATGGCCCAGAACTGCAGAAAAGTAAAGATACTTAAAAAATAGGATTGATCAACTCTAAGTTGCTGTTCTCATTTTTTAAAGATTGTACTAACTAACAGAAACAGTCCACGTTAGTTAGTACAATCTTTAAATAATGAGCTGTAGTAGAGATCCATGGATCTACTAAGTGAGAGATGTGTAATGGACCGTAAACCTGCTAGTTAAGAGATGAGTAAAGCACTGTAGATCTAATCAGTGAGAGACGTGTAGAGGTCCGTAGACCTGTTACTTAAGAGATGAGTGAAGATCCGTAAATCTATAAAGTGAGAGATGTGTAGAAGTACGTAGACCTACTAAGCGAGAGATGTGTAGAGATCCTTAGATCTACTACCTGAGAGCATCGGCTGGTGCCGATGAGCGACGTTTTCTCAGTAAGACGCTATCAATACCCTAACTATATAATTGACAGTAGTAGTTTTTTACATTACATGCCTTCGCTGTAAATTAAAACGCCATCTCCGGAAAAAAACAACCACGACTGCAGGCCTACTTGTCGATTTTACTAACATGATTCTGTCTCACCTTCCGAACCATGGCAAATATATCGCTTTTTATACCTTTCGCTCTTCCACTTCCCATTATTTTACGTTCTGGCTTACGACTGATATTTTTATAGTTGCACTTTGGCGTGGCCTATAAGATCATTCACCCCTACTACAACCTCTTTTTGCGTTTAATCTCCGGTCCTACATTCCGTAGTCCCATTTATTTATTTCGAGTCGACTTCATTTCAAATATTCTGGACTTCGTTCTTCTTAGCTTGGGGAATATACCCACATGCCCACATACCTTTCTTTATTGTGTAAAGCAAAACAGTTAAGTGTTCCACAAAAATAATTTGATCTTAGTAGCATGAAAAAAATCTTCCTACCCAAAATTCGTCCAGCTTTTACTTACAGAAAGAGCTACCTCAAAGTTTCGGGATAATGGGATCAGCCTAAAAAATATACCTCCATACTGGACTAATCCGGCAGTCCTAATACTTCCCCAATTGCACCAGTAAAAAGACAAAGAGAAAGCCGCTGTCATTAAGTTAAAGTTAACATTTCATAATGTATAGATGTGTCCCCTTGTATTTGACTAACAAAGGGTCATTGTAAGAGGGGTTTTACCCGCTCTCGTTCTCGCGATCCCACGCATAGAAGCTCCACGCTTCCAGCTTCCAGCACACTGGGACAAGCAGTAAACTTAACATGCCGCCCGCCAATGCTAGACCTAGCATGAGAATCCTTTGCTTGTCCGGTCCATCCTGGTTGTGGGGTAGAACATCTAGTACGGAAAAGTAAACAAGAAGTGTGGGCAAGAAACAAGGTAATTATTATTAAGGGGGGCAAGTGACGGCGCTTAAGAACGAATTTGCAGCGGACCAAGTTTCGACACCGAACGCTTCAACCGGACTTGCTTGGTTTTAAGCGTAACAACCCGGACCAACGTAAATCGGCGGAAATCGGTCGTCCTTGATGATGACGAGTTCGTCAAGCTGGAGTCCTTCAGCCTCGCGGCACCCGACTCCAAGCCTTCCAGAAATGACGTACCATTGACTGCTGTATCAGGAACTGATCCGCGAAGGACTTAGACTGTGCGTGCAAGACTAATCTCCTCGAAGTTTATCGTAGAACTTTTTCATTATATTGTCCGCCCCACGAAGTTGGTCCCGTTGTCACTGCAGAGGTACTGAACCATCCATCTCCTCCGTCACAGAACGCGTGAAGCTGAGCTGACACTATGCATCCAGGGGTATAATGAATCCATCCGTCTCTGCTTTAATCGTCGATCCTCACCAACCCGTCCCGAAACGCTCGCCACCGTTCAACCAGGGCGTCAGGAACCTGGTCGTTCCACTCCACCGCCGACTGAGTGCCATCCGCATGCCCTTTCTATGCGATGGTAACCTCCTTTAAGATCAGCTTTTCCACAATGATGACTGGTGCGATGAGACACAGTGAATCGAACAGCCTAGCTATGCTCGATAAAATCATCCGTTTGGTGAACCTAGCTGGAATTTCAAAATTAACCTGAAATTTGAAACAATTCATCCCTAACGCCTTCATAGGATCCGTAGTATCCCAGTTTAAAGGAGTCCGGCTGCACTGATGCTCCGTAGGAATTGAGAGCAAAAGTCTGGAGTCGTTGCTAGACCATTTCCCCAACTCCATACACCCGGATTTTATCGTACCCGATACTTGTGTCCGCTTAACACTTGCCTTCTCCAACGTGTGACCTCCAGAAAGAATATCATCCACATATATTTCGCTCATCAACACCTCTTCCGCCTTGGAATATGAACGGCGCTCATACTTCGCCAAATGGTGAATGACCCTGATGGCCGTGAAGGGTGCAGACGCCGTTCCAAAGGTTAGCGTTGACAAGGCGAAAACGCTGGTGGACCCTTCCGCCGCCCGCCATAAAATCCGCTGGTATTGGGCGTCTTCCAGATGATATCAGCTGCAAAAGCGAAACGATATTTCCGATCCTTAACGGCCTCAATCTCGCAGAAACGCTTGAGCAATGCCTTGGTGTCCAAGAGCACCCCATGACAGCTTATCTGGGTCGCTTCCCTCACTCCGTCCGCCAGACCAGATAGGATCCACCCAAAGTTAGTGTTCTGAGCTATAGGCTCGCTGGCAGCCCGATCTTGGTGTCCAACAAAATGATTTGCTCCAATAGATCTACACCCAAAATGAGATCGACTCGCTTCGATCGTGAGAAGTTTGGATCCGCCAGCTGGAACCCTCGTATATGGCCTCAACGCTGAGGCATCAAGCTGCGACCCGGAATACAGGAAGTATCCGAATTGAGGACATAGGCGGAATCAACATCTACTGAAAAGTCAGGTCTAACATTACTATGGATTTTAACGACGACCGCCCCGAAGACCCATCCCAAAAATAGATGCTCGGGTGCTAGGTCGCTTCAGATGCTAGGACTGTACCACCTGCTCCGAAACGATGGTTGCCTCCGATCCTTGATCGACCAGGGCGGTAATGACAGGACGCAGTCCGTTGACCGTGTTCCGCACTGTGATACGACCAGTGACGAGAAGGGCATTTCTCGAACACAGATCCGATGACGTTGCTGAATAGCATCCGTAAGATGTGCCGGGGTTTTGGCCTGTCGTTGGCTGCCTGCGTTGTTGAGATACGTTCTCCCTGTTTGCAGGTGCACTAGGAGTCGGCGCCTCAGGCCGGACCGGATGCGGCGCACGCGTCTGCGATTGGCTATGAACCAAAACTGGAAAATGCAACAAAGTGTGATGAGGCTGCCCAGACACTTGACATCCTCCTTGGGTAACCTCGATGCTACGTAGTGTGCCAACCAGTGCTGCGATTCCCCGTCCAAGGCTTGAAAGCGGCGGAATGCAGCCAGAAAAACATTGACCGTGCTTAACATCGACCGTATTAACTCTGTGTTATCCTTTTGCAGCCTAGGCAACGCATAGATGGCATTCATGTGGTGTGCGAAAACGAGGCGAGGATTGTTGTACCTCTTGATCATCAATCCCCAAGCCACTGAATAGTTCCCTTCCGTGAGTTGCATCTGACGGATGTCATTATCGCGATCCCCCGGCAGCGACTCTTTGAGAAAGTGCAGCTTCTGCACACTACTCAGATTGGCGTTGTTGTGGATTTGGCTCGTGAAGGAAACATAATAGCGTGGCCAATCGACACAGGCGCCGGAGAACTTCGGAAATGACATCTGAGGCATGTTCAGCCGCACTTCCGCATTGGCGCCCGCAGACACCGGTGGCGGAGGCGCACAAGCCTCTAATCCACGTTTGCCCAAATCCTCCGGAGCATCCGATTAAGCTTTCTTGTTGACTAGTGAAAAACCACATTTCACCACCCAAAATAATAATTTAATAGGTAAACTCAGTAAATTCTTGTCTCACACTGTTTACTTACTCCGTTATGAATACCAGTATCCACCCCAAGAAGAAGCGAAGAAAGGTGCCGTCTCCGAAATTCAAGAACCTGTCCTTGATGAGCCT